TATACATATACATATACATATATATATCTATACATGTATATCCAATCCCCACGCAGTAGCTTTTCGACTACAAAGAATTCCCTATGGTCGTGTACCGCAATTGAAGCCAAGGTGTATTTGAAGGTACTTTGCTCTACACGCCTCACAATAACTGCAGCTGTGGTTATACAATGTGCACCTCTAATCTTTATGTTGAACCCTAGTTGACCTATACGTGGTAATATACCTCGTGGCTGCGGAGTGTATATAACACGCCTACTACTATAGCGCACGTTTGAGACAAGCGTTTTGCGGTTCAAACGGTACGAGTGTACTCACATAACACAAAACGCCACCAGCACCACGTGTGCTTAGGCTGCATAGCCGTGCACGTGATCATATCTTCTATATACACAACTCACACAGAACGTTTTCAAAAGCACTCCGCTAATAAGATTCGTTAGCAATAGCCTTCGTCACAACGCGCGTGCGATGATACAGCAGAGCTAGTCACTGCGGGGGAAGCCCTAAAAACAAAGAGCATGCTACACCAAGACAACACCGTCACCTCATGCGCAAGTACTAATTCTCTGTGACAGTACGAAAGTATCAGTATAGAGTGACCTCTACTACACACGTGCATGGATACGCAAATCAGCATGCTACACGACGACAACACCGTCACCTCATGTGCCAGTACTAATTCTCTGTGACAGTACGAAGATATCAGTACAGAGTGACCTCTACTGCACACATACATGGATACGCAAATCAGCATCCTATACGGAGATATGTGTTTCCGCACACCCCCTTTTAGTTTCTTTTGCACAGTGTGAGTAGTCCATACAGAGGGTCACTCCCGTGCACGTGCAGGTAGACGTGGTACAGACAGGCCATTCATCTCCATAGCAACCACACTCCTAACCCACTCAATCACACCTCATAGCAACCACACTCCTAACCCACTCAATCAATCACCTCTCTACGTACTGTGTGTGTGAGGGTGTGCGTGATCACACAGGCGTGTGACTCGCGCGCAGTCGTCATTACCAGTATCTAACTTGGGCCAGCGTCACTACAATCTCTACTCAGCCACCCTTGATCAATCAACACCGCCAGTGACTGCCTATATACACTTGTGCCCCAGGAACATGTCCGTCCTTATGTTCAGTTTAGAGGGCTATGGTCCTTAGTGTTTGTTATACAGGATTGCTGTGACTAACCACGGCTTGACCGAGAAGACCATGCACGCACAGCGCGGCGCTCATAAACGTTTGTCGATGGCCACTGTATGCAACAGATGTTCGGTACATCTCCCACAGGCGTGATGTGCCCAGAGATGCGTAGTACAGTATTCAGGAGCGTTTGTCGAGGGTCACTCTATTCAACAGGTCACTTTCGGTGGTATATCTGTCACAGGTGTGTTGTAACCAGAGATGATGGTATGGCATGTATCAGTATATAATTACTGTGGCATGGGATGTATAAGTATACAATTACTTTAGTATGGTATGTATAAGTATATAATTACTGTGGTATGGTATATATAAGTATATAATTACTGTGGTATGGTATGTAGAAGTATATATTTACTGTGGCATGTTATGTATAAGTATATAATTACTGTGGCATGGTATGTATAAGTATATAATTACTGTTGTATGGTATGTACAAGTGTATAAGTACTGTGGCATGGTATGTATAAGTATGTAATTATTGTTATATGGTATGTACAAGTATATAATTACTGCGGTATGGTATGTATAAGTATATAATTACTGTCGTATAGTATGCAGATATATACAAAGGCGCTGAGGCTATAGGTACTGCAAACTGAAGACGTTAGTGGGAAGACAAAATTAATGTCACACCGTATCTATAAGTATATAACTACTATCGTATGGTATGTATATACATACAAAGACGCGATGTTACCGTATCTGTAGGTATACAATTCCTGTCGTGTAGTATTTAGATATATTCCAAAAACGAGATGTTGCGCCGACAAGTAAAGGCAAATGAAAATGCACACTTGCAATAGACACGTGCAGGACTGTACATTCGAGCGAACATATGAAGAGAATACGGAAACGAAACTGACCAACACATGTCCACTAGTTTTTTTACACATGTGTACAGGCGTGTACTTGCATATACTTGTACCAATGTACATACAATTATGAGACATTGCACATCTTTCTGCACACCCCCCCACATATACACACCTACACAAACACTTGCCCGCTAGTTTACACACATGTATTAGGCGTGTACTTGCTTATATTCATGCCAATGTACATGAACATACGAGACACCCTACACACCTTTCTGCGTTTGCCAAGAATATGTCGATCGCAGTGTTTAGCGTAAGCTTGCAGTCGTCTGCATTGTGTGGCGAGAGAAGAGTGTTCTCGAGCGAATAGAACAGGTGTTCACGATCTGGTGGTTCCTCCGCCCAGACATCCACTGCCACACCGCTGTATAGTTAAGATATATA